GTACTTAGTCTAAACAATGCTGACTGTAGTGGCTTGTTGTTTTTACTATTGTTTTACTTGAACATAGGATATTTTTTTTTTTTTTTTTTTTTCCCCATAATTTCATAGCAACAACAAATTTCTTTTGTGACTAGACTATTTTTCCATCTGGTCATGGTACTCCCACTTCAAACTATGATTTGCACTAGAGACTTGGGAGGGCATGTGAAGATTCAGGCTGGATAGTTATCTCCTACATTAACACCAGCTCTTTGAAAATTCTAAACAATTTGTTGCAGCAACAAGTTTACATTAAAGGTGGGCCAGATCATGGCTTTGTTGTTTTCTCATTCTTCTGGAAATAGGTTTTTTTTCTGAAATGATCCTACAATACACAATGATAAGGCAAGACTAGAGGGGAAAATGTAACAAGTAAAAAGAGAACACTAACTCTGTTCAGGCATGTAAGGGAGAATGACGCAGACGTTTTGAAACTCTTGTCCTGTGGCACAAGACTAGGAGGATGAAGAAACAGGTGGGGAATAGCTGAAGTCTGAAAAGATATTCTTGAATTTGTTTTAATGTTGCAGGACAAGCATTTGGAATCAGTTTGGGCTCCATTCCAGGCACTTTAAAGTTGATCTGAATTTGACCATAGATGGAATTAAGGGTATAATCAGGACTTAAGGATAAGGATTGCATCTCTATATTTAATTTTCCTGCTCCTTTTGTCCTTGCATTACTTGCAAACCTGCTAGGCCCTTGGATGCAGCAACACTACTGGTGATTCTACGCGACTGTAGAGTAAGAGGGTGTGACAGCTGCTGATCAGTGTGGTAGTACTGCAAAGTGGCAGCTGAGAGCCAGTTCTTCCTGGCTTAATGTGTTCAAAAGGTATTTTCCCTCATATTAAAAAACAAACAAAACCTCAAGCCCAAAAACTACTATCCATACTTCTGCTTGCAGACGTTAGCAAAAATACTATTAAAGAAGCCAACAGAATCTTTTTTTGCAGTAGTCACTAAGCATTGTGGCTCATGTAAGCTTTATTCAGAAGCCAGATTCATAGTCCTTTCAATTAGAGGATCTTATTTGTAGTATTAGGAGACCAAGATTGCTGGAGAAAAAAGCCAAAAGGCCTGAATACAATCTGAAACTCTTCAGTAGGTTTCCATCCAGTATCTACTGAATACAGCATCTTCATAGCCTTGGCTATCTAGTATCTTACAGGACATTAACAAAGATAGTGGCTTCCTGAACAGCTATAGTTTCAAAGATCTCTGGAGAACAAATCCTGTGAGTTACTGAATTGATGTGATGAGAATAAATGCAAGGCTTTTCTTCCCTCCACAGATAGAACTTTTTGAGTTCAAGGGGGAGGACCTCACTGATGATGAAGATGGTGGCATCATCCGAAGAATCCGTAAAAAAGGGGAAGGCTACTCCAAGCCCAATGAGGGTGCACTTGTAGAGAGTAAGTATGTTACACAAATAGTAAATGGGTTTACCGTGTGGAAGGGCAGAACCTTTTTCCCAATCTACAACTCCTTGCCCTGAGAGAGAGGAATACATGGCTTCTCTTTCCTTTACTAAGTAACTTAACAACCTGGAGTAAGCTTTCATTCTCTTATTTCTAGCGAGGTTTACATTTTCCAGGAGCAACTGTGTTCTCCAGAGATACTGAATCTGATAAAGTGCTTATCTGATCACAAAAGGTAGATGAGTCTAATAAAGTATTTCCATTTGCTGAGGAACAAGAGGGGAAGTAGTTCTGGCACTTGCTGAAGTGGAAAAAAAATACACAGATGAACAAAAAAAAAAGGGTTTATTAAGTTTAGCAGCAGAAGTTCTATTTGCTGCCAGTAGCCACCATGCATAGGTAGCTGTTAAAAGAGAAAAGACTGTTTAGGAGGAGGCTCTGGCACTCCCTATATTAACTGTGCTACTTACCCCTTACCATACAGGAATATCTTCTGATTTTTCTCTGGGTTGTTCTGTTTTTTGTTACCAGTCCAGTTTGAAGGCCGATATGGAGATCGTGTTTTTGACAGGCGGGAATTGCGGTTTGAGATTGGAGAAGGTGACAACTATGATCTTCCTCATGGTCTGGAGAAAGCAATTCAAAAAATGGAGAAATCGGAGGAATCTGTGTTCTATCTCAAACCCAAGTATGCTGTTTCTTATCTTTTGATACTTGAACGGCTTATACTAAGCATCTGGCAAGAACAAAGTGTTTTGTTATAATGCCTTTCAGCTTTTTTCAGTGCTGTAATAAAAACTTGATCAGCCCCAAAAGTTTGATGTATGAGAAGTATGAAGCTAAGATCACTTTGCCACTAGGTTGTGCAGTAGTAGCACTCCAAAAGAAATTTACTTAAGTCTCTATAGTGTTGATCTTGGTGAATATTAAAAAAAAAAAGTTGTTGCTCTCTAACTTATATTTTGTGGTCCCTCTTAACGAAACAGTACTTTCTGTGCAGCAGTGCATATAAAGATACCTAAAGAACAGCCTCAGAATAGGAAAAGAGCTGATGAGCCTTCAGAGCAGCCCGATGTGACCAGATAGCTAGTCCTTAAGTGATGTGGTTAGTAAAGAGAATCAGAAATCCTTTGTCAGTAGAAAACGTTCACTGGTATTCTGAAAGCCTTTTGAAAAAAGACCTTCAAGATTCCTGTGAGATACAAGGCAGAGTTATATCCAAACCTTGGACTATTATGAGAACTCTGAGACATAAGAACAGCTAACTGAGACGTATGACTGCCCAGTATTGTACCCTTAAACAGTCTTGGATATAAGCAGAATTTTCTCTTTACAGCGAGAACGCACCTGAAAGAAGTGGAGTTTGCACTGATTGTTTCCATCAAACTTTAATTCATTTCAGTTTTTATTTTAAGTTTTTTAAGCTGGAACTGAACCTGACGGGAGAAGAAAAGCAAAGCAATCTGATCTTGAGGGTTTTCCTGCTAATATGCAGCTTCTTACTGGAGTTGCAGTGTGGAACCTTTCTATAGGCATTTACTGTTAATCAGCTGATTGGCAGTGTGTGAAGTGTACAGCTGTTCACTTAATCTCTGTATTTGTTGTCTTTGCTGAGAAGACAGCAAATAGTACTAAATACAGTGTGTGTATATATATACACTATATATGTGTATATACTGTATATACACATACTATATATGTATATATATATACTGTAGAGAATAGTACTAAAATACAGGTACTCTAAAGGAAACATCCAGTCTCAGAGCGTTAATACAAAGCAAGATGTGTATAACTTGAAAGTTTTGGATTTTTTTTTTTCTTTCCTTGGAGAGATAACTTGTTTTTCCTTCACATAGCTAAAAAAAAAAGAAATAGGAACTGGTAACGTAGAGATTAATGAAATTAACCCCAGGCTTCTCCAGCTTTTCTTCTACCTTGTGCTTGCTAATTTTAGATTAGTACCCAGAATTCTTCAGGCCTTTATGTCTTGTAATAATGCTGTATAGGCATCCCAGATTTGCATGGGGGTTTTGCCTCCAGCTTCCTATGTAGCGAATATGGCTGGCTGGATAGTTTTGGAACTCTTATTTTTTGTTTGTTTCTTTTCCTTGCTGCCCCCCTTCCCCCCCCCATCTTACAGCTATGGTTTTGGAAGTGCTGGGAAGGAGAAATTTCAGATCCCTCCTGATGCAGAGCTACAGTATGAAGTGAAACTCAAAAGCTTTGAAAAGGTAGGAATGAGAGGTGAAGTCCCAAAGAGGTTGGGAGGTGGGGGAAGAAGTGTGAGTGCAGCTTAAACAAGGATGATGGAATCCTTAAATGTTCATCTGAAATAGGGAAGCCACTGTTGTCAGAGATGACAATGCACTGGGAGCTCTTGGCTGAAATTGTTCTTGTTTTTACTGTATCCCTGTCTGTTGCCGTCAGTGTCTCTCCTGCTCTAGCCCAGTTTCCAGTGGCAGTGCAAAACTGCTTTGCCAAACCTACCCCCACCATACTGTTAGTGGGAAGCAGCATAGCCACTTGTTTCCTCCAAAATTGTATCATTGACTTGAACTGTTCCTGTTTGGGTAGGCTAAGGAGTCTTGGGAAATGAACACAGATGAGAAGCTGGAACAAAGCTGCATTGTGAAGGAGAGAGGCACTCAGTACTTCAAGGTAAATTACAGTCCCCAAGTAATGATAGCATTTCTTTGTCCATGTCATGATCTGATAATGATGATGACAGCTTCTGTCATTTCAGAGTGGTGTTCATGGTACTCTGTGACATTTTACAGGGAGGACTGGAGGGGGAAAGGTGTCTTTAAAAAAAAAAAAAAGCCTCAGAGTTGGAATATCCAAAGAGATATCCAATATCTCTCTGTCAGAGCTGTTTGCTGTACCTACAGATAACTTTGGGGCATAAATTGAATAGCAGCAAGGTTACAGTATTTCAGTTCTTACTGTGGGATAATGCTGTGAATGAACAACATTCGAATAGAGACGTGTGGAGAAGCTGTTTCAAACAATTTGACCAGCTGAAGGCAGACTTCTTCATTATCTTCATGACACAGCAACAGTTGTGCTGTTTTGAAAAACGCCCCATCTTCCTTGTTCTGTATCAAAAGTTGAATATAAGGTGGGAGTTGAGAGTGAAGCATCAGTGCTGGCCTATACCCCCAGCTTTAGTGGGGGAACCAGTAGGTATTCCTAAAGATTTTCTGATCCTATGCAGGAATGGCTTTCAGAAGTAGTATATTTTTGATGATAGAGATTATTTTCTGATTACTCTGAATTATTTTTTTCAGATCTATTGCTCAAGGTAAGCAGAAGGGGCAAGAGGGAGATAAAAGTTACTGTGATGAGCTGTGTGATAATTGAACTGCCTTGCTTACAGGAGGGGAAATACAAACAGGCAGCATTACAGTATAAGAAGATTGTGTCGTGGCTGGAGCATGAATCAGGACTCTCCAATGAGGAGGAAACGAAAGCCAAAAGCTTGAGGCTTGCTGCCCACCTTAATCTAGCTATGTGCCATCTCAAGCTGAAGGAATACTCCCAGGCTTTGGAGAACTGCAACAAGGTAGTAAGGGTTTATTTATTCTTAAGCTGCACAAGCAATCTGACGGTTTATCTCTTGCTTTAACAATTTGAGGGATACCAGGCCATGTGGTGTTTGGCCTTTCTTATCAGCTGGCAGAACAGTTTATTTTCATAATTATTATCCTTTGAATATCTTTTACTAACTTGCTGCTACATTGAGAATATTCAAGTATTTAGAAATTAGAAACACTGAGATGTGGTGAAGGTAGTCATGTTGGTAAAGGTCCTTCAAAGAGCTGGAATAGAGGCAGGACTAAATTTTAGACTTGCTGGTTTTCTGTCAAATAGCCTACTATATTCAGTCCTCTTTGTATTTACTTCTACTGTATTCAACTCGCCTTATTAGTAAGCCCTGACAAGGCTCATAATCTACATCAGAAGGTACGGTGTGTAGCAGTCTCTGGTGTTCTGACTGCATATTATTTTAAAAACAGAAAAATTATTCTTGAATGTTGTTTTGTTTTGGTTTTTTTTAATGCAGGCACTCGAATTGGATAGCAACAATGAAAAAGGCCTCTTCCGGCGTGGAGAAGCGCACTTGGCTGTCAATGACTTTGAATTGGCCCGGGGAGATTTCCAGAAAGTGATACAACTTTATCCAAGTAACAAAGCTGCCAAAGTGCAACTGGTAACTTGTCAGCAAAAAATACGGGAGCAGCATGAGAAGGAGAAAAAGATGTATGCCAACATGTTCCAAAGGCTTGCCGACAAAGACTTAAAGGTAAGTAACAGTACTCCAGAAGACTGCAAGAGGTGGTGTCATGTGTTAGACAAGGAATAGTGTTTTAGGTATTCAGCTTACTTCTTAGTACAGATAAATACAGTGGGAGAACACTCGAGTAGGTTCCTCTGGGGGGGCGGAACTGGAAATGGCCAACAGTCAAAATGATTAGGCCATCTTGTTTGAACAAGACAACTAGCAGTACCAAGCATTGCACAGAATGCTTTTACTTATTTCAACTGATTTTGCAACAGACCAGTGTTAATCAGAAAGCAATTGAAGTGATGAGATGCAAACATGATAATGTTCAAGAACTGAAAAAAGCACCTATTCTCCTTGAACTGATCTTCTAAAGAACAGTCTGTTCTGGTGCCTGGGTGGCCCATCTACTGAGACCTTATGTCTGTCGTACAGACATAAGGTTTGTGGTGGTTTCAATCCCCATTGCTTCTCATGGGGACATTAAGATGTGGTTGATGCTCTCCATCTCAAATGTCACAGATAGATTATGAAGTGTCAGCATTCAGACTGTCAGAAGATTCATTATTCTACTGTATGGATGGTTTTCCTACTAAGCTTTCACTAGAATTTTAGTAAATACAAGTTCAGTTAACAATGGCAATATTTGAATACAGGTTATAACAAGGTTGTATCAGCTAGCAAGAAACATGCAAAGTTACTGGTGAGAATCACATATCCTAAGAAAATGTTCTGTTTGTTTTCCTTAAATCTGATGGTCCAGAAGGACTAGGTAAACCTGTAACTTCCAAGACAAATCTGGGATTTATATCAGACTCAAATTTTCTTGGTAACATTGGGGAGTGCAGAAGCTTGCATCTTGTGAGATTATTTTCACAGATCTTTGTGTCCACCTTCCCAGCATATGCATGGAGAATCTGAAAAATTGTCAGATATTGATATGTCAATTTCCTGTGGTTAACTGTGTCAGTGAGTCTGTCCAGATGAGTGTATCCTGATAGTTCAGCCATCTCAGACTGTCAGCTGATGATTTTGTACATGAAACGCTTCACAAACCTGTCTTTCTCCCCCTTCCCCAATCTTTCAAAATGAGTTATACCTGAAATCAGTTTATCTCCCAGAGACAATGGGAGATGTATTCCATTCTTCATCTCTTACTCTGCTAAAGTACCCTATGCTTACTATATGACTAATCACGCCTAACTGGATGGTTGGGTGGGCAAGCTGTTCTGTTTGTGGCTTTTTGGTTGTGGGTTTTCTTGGGTTTTGGTGGGTTTTTTTTTTCCTCTTCAAAGAGTAGCAGTAGTTCTGTAGATTTGGTTGTGCTTCTCATGGAGGAGTGTAAACAAACACATAAATGCAGACATTACCCACTGATTCTGCAAGGAAAGTGTCATTGTCCGTGTAGTTATGTATCTGGCTAAAGCAGCCTGATTCAACAGTCCTTGCTTATTTTTGCCTGGAAGAAAGTATTCTGTCCTTTTAGACATTGTCACGTATAGCCACGTAGCACCTTATTTTTGATTTAATGAAAAATCTCAGGAAGATAAAGATAGAGCAACTAAACCAGAATTATTTCACTGTTGAGCATCTTCACTTTTGAAATTGCAGGGTTTAATTGCCAGCTGTCAGGCTCTGCTGTGCAGGTTCCTTTCAGCTAGCACAGCTGCTGGGAATCTGGCTTCTTCCACTAGGTGTGGGACACAGCAAGATCTGCTGTTCAGAGAGGAAGAGTGGATTGTTGAAACAAGCTATACCCACTAAAAGTACGAAAGGGCTGCCTTCATGCTTTTCAAAATGTATACCTCAGCCCCTAAGACAGACAGACGGTAGAGTTGTATTCTTGGCAAAAGGCAGACTCACAGTCTTTGCACTGCAGACTGTTTGGGATACTGCAAAGACATGGCACTTAGTTCCAATTTTCCCATCTACTTTGGGTAGGATCAGCTTAAAGTCATAGAATCATTTAGGTTGGAAAAGACTCCTAAGATCATCGACTCCAACCGTTAACCTAGCACTGCCAAGTCCACCACTAAACAATGTCCCTTAAGCGCCACGTCTCCATGTCTTTTAAATACCTCAGGGATGGTGACTCAACCACTTCCCTGGGCAGCCTGTTCCAATGTTTAACCACTCTTTCAGTAAAGAAATTTTTCCTAATATCCAA